TTCCTCATGAGTACAATTAAGTGTTCTGGAATTCCCATTCTTTGCAGTGTTATCCAAAATTTTGTTATGATCCACAGTAGAATTCCTCTGTATACTCTATAAAACACAGGTAAACATCCTTTATTCCCTGCTTTCAGCCAAGATCCATCTGACATCAGCAATGATATCCCTCATTCATGTCCTCTTCTGAATTCGGCTTGAATTTCCGGCAGTTCCTTGTCAATGTACTGCTGCACCTGCTTCTGAACGATAATCAGCAAAATTTTACTTGCATGTGATATTGATACTGTTCAATAATGTCCGCATTCTGTTGATAATCCTTCTTTGGAATAGGCATCAATATGTACCTCTTCCAGTTAGCCAGGTAACTGTCTTCGAAATTTCTTGGCAGAGATAAATGAGCACTTCCAGCACAGCATCTGTTTGTTAAAACATCTCTATTGGTATTCTGTTAACTCCTGGGACCTTGTTTTTCACCAATGTCATCAGTACTGCTTAGACTTCTTCCTTCAGTACCATCGGTTCTTGATCACATGCTACACCTCCTAAAATGGCTGAACATCAATTCTTTTTGGTACAGTGACTTGTATATTCCTTCTTTTGATGCTTCCTGTGTCGTTTAGTATTTTGTCCATAGAATTCTTCAATACTGCAATTCAAGGCTTTAATTTTTTCTTCAGTATTTTCAGCTTGAGAAATGCAAGTATGTTCTTCCCTTTTGGTTTTCTAACTCCAGGTCTTTGCACATGTCATTATAACACGTTACTCTGTCTTCTTGAGTTGCCTTTTGAAATCTTCTGTTCAGCCCTCTTACTTCATTCATTATTTCTTCCATTCGCTTTAGCTACTCGATGTTCAAGAGCAACTTTCAGAGTCTCTTCTGAAATCCATTTTCGTCTTTTCTTTCTTTCCTGTCTTTTTAATGACCTTTCGCTTTCTTCATGTACGATGTCCTTCATGTCATTCCACAATTCATCTGGTCATCAGTCATTAGTGTTCAACGCGTCAAATCTACTCGAGATGGTCTCTAAATTCAGGTGGGATATACTCAAGATCGTACTTTGACTCTCGTGGACTTGTTCAAATTTTCTTCAGTTTCCACTAGAACTTGCATATGAGCAACTGATGGTCTGTTCCACAGTCCAGCCCCTGGTCTTGCTCTGACTGATGATACTGAGCTTTTCCATCGTCTCTTTCCACAGATGTAGTCGATCTGATTCCTGTGTATTCCATCCAGTGAGGTCTATGTGTATAGTTGCCATTTATGTCATCGAAAACAGGTATTTGCAATGAAGAAGTCTCTGGTCTTGCCAAATTCCATCATGTGATCTCCAGCGATGTTTCTATCACTAACGCCATATTTTCCAACTACTGATCCTTCTTCCTTGTTTCCAACTTTCAGATTCCAATCACTGGTAATTATCAATACATCCTGATTGCACGTTTGATCAATTTCAGACTGCAAAAGTCGGTAAAAATCATCAATTTCTCCATATTTGGCATTAGTGGTTGGTGCATAAATTTGAATAATAGTCCTATTAACTGGTCTTCCTTGCAAGCATATGGATATTATCCTATTACTGACAGTGTTGTGGAGCCCTAGTGGATCAGTGGTTAAGAACTACAGCTGCTAACCAAAAGATTGGCAGTTTGAATCCACCAGCTGGTCTTGGAATCCCTATGGGGAAATTCTACCCTGTCCCCTAAAGGGTTGCTATGAGTTCGAATTGTCTCACCAGAAGTGTGGTTTTTTTTTTGGGGGGGTGGGGCAGCCAATGCACTTCAGGATAGATCTTGAAATGTTCTTTTTGACGATGAACGCGATGCCATTCCTCTTCAAGCTGTCATTCCCAGCATAGCAGACCATAGGATTATCCAATTCAAAATGGCCAATACCAGTCCATTTCAGCTCACTAACTCCTAGGACATTGATGTTTATGCATTCCATCTCATTTTTGACAATTTCCAACTTTCCTAAATTCATACTTCATACATTCCACATTCTTATTATTAATAGATGTTTGCAGCTGTTTCTTCTCATTTTGATCCATGCCACATCAGCAAATGAAGGTCCCAAAAGCTTGACTCCTTCTACTTCATTAAGGCTGACTCTACTTTGAGGGAGGCAGCTCTACCCCAGTTATATTTTGAGTGCCTTCCAACCTGAGTGGCTCATCTTCTGACACTAAACAACGTCCCACTGCTATTCATAAGGTTCTCACTGGCTAATTTTTTTCAGAAGTAGATGGCCAGATCATTCTTTCTAGTCTGTCTTAGTCTGGAAGCCGAGATGAAACCTGTCCACCATAGGTGACCCTGCCGGTATTAGAATGCCACTGGCACAGCTTCCAGCATCACAGCAACACGCAAGCCCCCACAGTATGACAAACTGATAGACACGTGGGGACTATATTCCATGCATAGTATAAACCCTAAAGTAACCAGTAAAATAATAAAAGTTACAGCTAATAAGTCAACAAAAGAGACAAAATGGAATTATAATATTCATCTAATCCAAAAGGAGTTAGATAAAAGGAAAACAAAGAACAGAAGAGACAAACAGAAAATGAGCAAAATAATGGATTTAAATTAACTCTATCAGTAATCACATTAAATGTAAACAGTCGAAACATACTTAAACTACAAAGATACACAGATTAAAAGTAAAAGGATAAAAAAGATATACTATGCTAATGCTAGTTAAAAGAAAGAAAGCTGGAGTGGCTAAGTTAATAAAACAAAGTTGATATTTTAGCAAGAATACTGCCAGAGATTAAAAAAAAAAAAAAAAAAAAAGGTCATTCTATCATGATAAAAAGGTTAATTCAACAAAAGGACATCATAATCCTAAACATTTACACCTAGTAACGGAGCTCAAAACACCTGACATTTAATATAACGAGAGAGAGAAAAATCACAATCATAGAGGCTACAATAATTCTCAGTAATTGATAAAAAACATGTAAGGATATAGAAGACTTGAGCAACACTATCAGCTTGACCTAACCGACCTTTATAAAACACTCCAACAATAAAATCAGAATGCCACATCCTTTTCAATTGCACTTAGAAGATTCTCAAGATTCATGGCCATAAAACAAGTTTCAATACATTTCAAAGGATTCAAGTCAAGACAAAGTACAATCATACTTTAGAATTAAGTCAGAAATCAGTAACAGAAAGATATCCAGAAAATCTCCAGCTATTTGAGGAAACAAAATTTGCAAGTAACATGCAAATTAGAAAGCATGTTAAAGTGAATGAAAATTGAAACAAAACACATCAAAATTTATGAGATATTACTAAAGCAGTACTTAGAGGGAAATTAGTGCCCTCAGCTTCTGCCTTAATAAAAAAAGAGTAAATTAAACTTAAAGTAAGCAGAAAAAAAGAAACCATAAATATCAGAAAAGAAACTTAACGAATCAGAAAACAAACATAAAAACCAGAGAGGAACCTCATCCATTGTTGGAGGGAATGTCGAATAGTACAGCCATTCTGGAAAACAGTTTGATGGTTCCTCAAAAAGTAGAACACAGAATTACCAAATGACCCAGCAATCCCAATTCTAGGTACATAGCCAGAAGAAGTGAAGGCAGGAACGCAAAGAGAAACCTGTACATCAACATTCACTGCAGCACTTTTCACAACAGCTGAAACGTCCATCAATAGATGGAAGAATAAGCAAATTGTGGAATATACACACAATACAATATCATGCAGCTGTAAAGAGAAATGAAGTTCTGACGCATGCCACAACATGGGTGAACCTTCAAAACATTATGCTGAGCAAAATAAGTCAGTTACAAAAGGATACATATTGTATGATCTCACTTATATGAAATAAGCAAATATACGGAAACCAAAGATTACTAACGGTTACCAGGAAAGTTTTTGTTGGGGGGGGGTGGAGTCGGGGGGGGGGGAACTGAGTTTATGTTAATGGTGGTGTAATATTTTAGATGAGGACAGCATTAATGGTGGAACATGAAAAAATGTAATCAATGTAACTGAGTTGTAAATGTGGAAGTTGTGTTGGCCAATGATCTGCTGTGTATGTTTTCACCACAATTTTAAAAAGAGTAGAAAAATTTAAAAAACAACAACAGAGAACAACTCCAATCTGGTTCTCTAAAAAGATTAATAAATTCCATCAATTTAGCCAGACTAATAAGGAAACTAACAGAAAAGACACAAGGTACTAATATCAGGGTTGACAGTGGGGACATAACTTCAGAATATACAGATACTAAAAAGATAACAAAGGAATGTTATGAAAAACAAAACAAAAAAGAACAGTCCTGTATCTATTTTAAAAATAGGATTAAAGAATTATATTCATGAAATACATTCAAAAGATTCACTTAATTCCGTATTTTAACAAAAAGATAAACAATATGATCACTTCAATACAATTAGAAAAAGCAACAGACAATATCCAATACTCACTTCTGATTAAAAAAACTCTCAGAAAACTACAAACAGAAGGGAATTTCCTCAATCTGATAAAGAGCATCTAAAAGCAACAACACCTACAGTAATATAATGCTTACTAGTGTAAGGTTTAGTGTTTTCAGGAACAAGAAACAAGAAACAAGACAGGAATGTCTATTCAACATTGGATTAGAGTCTAGCCAGTGCAGTAACAAAAGAAAAAGCAGTAAAAAGCATCCAGTTTGGAAAGGAATAAAGATGTTTTTCTGTGTCTACAACATGAATATCTATTCAGAAAACCCAATGGAATCTATAAAAAAAAGTTACCAAAATAAAAGAGTTTAGCAAGATTATAGGATATAAGATCAACACACAAAAATCAACTGTATTCCTACAGTAGCAATAATGAAGAATTGAAATTTTAAAATATACCCTTTAAAATAGCATCAAAAAACATGAAATACTTATGAATAAATATGATAAAAAATGCATAACATTTATAATGAAAATTATGAAACGTTGCTGAGAGAAATTAAAGAAGACATAAATATCTCTCCACAGGTCCCTGGGTGGTGCAAGGGTTTTGCGATCGGCAGCTAACCTAAATTAAAGGTTGGGAGTTCAAACTCACCCAGTGGCACTGTAGAAGATAGGCCTGGCAATCTGCTTCCATGAAGACTAGAGACAAGAAAACCCTATGGAGCAGTTCTACTCTATAACGCGTGGGGTCACCACAAGTCAGAACTGATTTGATGGCAATGGGTTTGGTTTTCGGGGGTTTTTTTTCGGTTAAATCTCTCTCCATAAATGGAGTAGACGCTGGTGAGATGTCACAATATTGAGTGTTATTAAATTGTCAATCTCTCCAAATTAATGTACAAATCCAATGCAATCTCAAGCAAATCCCATCAGTCACTTCCGTGGAACCTGACAAGCTGACAATTTCACAACTCATAGTGAAATACAAGATTTAAAAACCATACCTTTTCGAATGGCTAAAATTAAAAAGACTGAGCATACCAAGTGTTGACAAGAATGTTGAGAAACTCACACTGCTGGTAGAAATGTAAACTGGTACAATGACTTCGGAAAACAGTTTCATAGTTACTTAAAAAGTTAAATCTACACTACCATGTGATCCAGCCATTCCACTCCTAAATGAAAGCACGTGTCCATACAAAAACTTGTACACGAATGTTCATAGCGGCTTTACTTGTAACAGACAAAAAATGGCTATAACCCAAATGTCCATCAGTAGGTGACTGGGTAAACAAACTGTGGTACATGCATAGCAAGAAGAAGGGATAAACTAATAATACACCCAAAATCATGCGTGACTCTAAAATAATTACGCTATGTAAAAAAAGAGGAAGATAAAACCTATACTGTGTAATTCCATTTATATAGAACTCTAGAAAAAGCAAATTAATCTACAATAACAGCAGATCATTAGTTGCCTCAGGAGGAGAGTATCTTGGACAGGTGGGAGCAAGGCATTACAAAACAGCAGAGGAAACTTATGGGGCTGACACCTACGTTCATTATCTTGATTACGATGGTTTCACAGACTGTATATACTTTAAATATGTGCAGTTTATTATACGTCAATTATACCTCACTAAAGATATTTTTTTAAATCTGCATTGATTTAACTTTGGATAAAACTTCCATAAGCAGTTGATTGTGGCAAAGAAACATGAAATAATTCTAATTACACTAAAAATCAGGAGTCAAAAAACTAAGGCTACAGGCCAAATTCAGCCACGCCCATTCATTTCTGTACAGTCTATGGCTCCTTTCTCTACCACAGGAGAGCTGAGTAACTGCAATGCAGACCTGCAAAGCAAAAATATTTAACATATGGCACTTGACAGAAAATGTCTCCTGGAGGCACGAGCGGACCGCGGCGAAGAGAACCAAAGGCGAAGTTCCTGTTTACACTGCGTAGACAGCTCTACTGCAAAGATGGTCAACGTACCTAAAACCCGAAGGACTTTCTGTAAGAAGTGTGGCAAGCATCAACCTCACAAAGTGACCCAGTATAAGAAGGGCAAGGATTCCCTGTACGCGCAGGGAAAGAGGTGCTATGATAGGAAGCAGAGCGGCTATGGTGGGCAGACAAAGCCAATTTTCCGGAAGAAGGCTAAAACCACAAAGAAGATTGTGCTGAGGCTTGAAAGTGTTGAGCCTAACTGCAGGTCCAAGAGAATGCTGGCCATTAAGAGATGCAAGCATTTTGAGCTGGGAGGCGATAAGAAGAGAAAGGGCCAAGTGATCCAGTTCTAAGCTTTTTCTTTTTAATTTTGAAAAATGTCAAAGCAATAGAAAAATTACCTGTAGGAAAATACAGTGATAGTCTTTTTCAAAAAAAAAAAAAAAGAAAATGTTTGCTGACCTCTGCCAAGTATCAATTTAAGAGATTACACGATAAAATAAACTGTTTCAATTATGAAACCATTTTAAGAAGGAAAGACCAATGTGGTAACAGAATCAAGAAGCCTTTCCAGAAAGCACGATTAGCACAATGGCTTCGAAACCTCCCATCGTAAAACATGTCCACGCATCATCTTCTTTTGAACTTAGGGCACAGACCATATAATGAACAGAAGAGGTAAATGTAAACATGCATCAAAAAAACTCACTGCCCTGCGTCGAGTTGATGCCTACTCACAGCAACCCTACAGAACAGAGCAGAACTTGCCCCACGGGGTTTCCGAGGCTGTAATCTTTACAGAAGAAGACTGCCCCATTTTCTCCCATGGAGCAGCTGGTGGGTTCAAACCGATGATCTTTCAGTTGACAGGCAACTGCTTAACCACTGTGCCACCAGGGCTCCTTTTAAACACGGGTAGCATATTAATATTCCTTTTCCATGTATACCTATGCGTGCCTAAACTGTCTACTTTCTACTAAATGAATTCTTACCTAATCTGTTCTGTTTGTACAATTCCTTCTTTGTGACCCTCCAAACGGGCAGCCAATCTCTCTTTATCAAGGCGCACACACTCTTCATCCTGGAAATAATCACTGATCAGTGAATGGTTTAAATTTTTATTTAACTTTTAGTAGGAAAAAACACTTAACAAAGCATTTTCTTAAAAAAATTACAGCCTACAAAGTTCTAGGGAAAACTGGCCTTAAGTCCACTGTAAAAGAACTTTTAGTTACACTCTTATTACACAAATATGGTAATAATAAATAACGTTGGTTTACATAAGATTAGAACTGACTGAAAGTTTACAAAACAACTTGTTTAATCACTATTTTCTGATTATAAGTGTACTTCCCATAAAACAGCATATCTACCTTTATTGAGAAGACATACAACAAATACCTTCTCTTTGAGAAAGTTTATAACTAAGTTTTATAAAAATCCTTCACCACAGTCAAAAATTTCATTTTGAATCTAGATTTTCTTCATCTACTGCTACAGGTGCTGAATCCCTCAGCACAGATCAAAATAGTAGAAGTTAAACTTCAACAGTTTTCAAAACATGTTTCTCAGAGCATTAAGGGTTTACTGCAAAGTGTCCCACTGGCCACTTCAAGATCTTATCTGAATTCAACCTTGGTAGCTAAGCTTTTATCTAAAATACGTATTAGGATTTCAGGTAAGATTTTGTCTGAAAAGTGTTTCCCTGCTTAAAAACAAGACTTAGTAAGAGATCTAGTTCAACACCCACAGCCTACAAATGAGAAAACTGAGGACCAGAGTGTCTGTGACTAATAAAATACAAAATTTTATTTAAAAAAATCAGTATATTCAAGAGATCCAGAATGTTGGGTTTTAAATAATGCCCTAATATTCTACCATGCTAAAAAAAAAAAGAAAAGAAAATCTTAAAACGGACACATCAGCTGAAATGAATACAAGGGTAGTATTTTAGCAGATGCATTAAAGTTTCGCCATTTGTAATAAAGGTATTAACAAAGATTGCCCAAGTTCCTTAGGAGACTACTAATTTTAAAGATAAATGCAGTCTAAATTTTAATCCAATCAGAATTCATGCCTTCAGGTTTCACTCTCCTAGTATAATGCCTTGCAGGTCCTCAATATATATTTGCTGAAATGAAAACTGTTTATGTGACACAACTGTCTGTGAAGTACATTTCAATGTTACATATGCTCTGAAAATAATTTTATTATGTGATTTCCTGTTGACTTTTCAAGTTACTGGAATCCCAGCAAATTAACATTGCTGACATGCTGTAATTTTTCACATGATTAAACTGTTCAGGTTTTTCTAAATAAATGGTATCCCTAAATTCACCTGCTTTGTTCACAGTGGGTCACAAACTCCTTTCATGCAGGAAGAATTGGTGAAATCTTCAGTTTTACTGCTACAAAATTTGTACCCAGTGCAATGGAATGGCTAGGAGACAGGCTGCCTGGGTTCTAATCTTGGCTCTGCAACTTAGTGGCTGTAGAAATTGCAGTAAGTCACTTATCCTCTCTAAGTCTATGGTGACTCACAGATGAAATGTATAGCACCACCAACTTCAGGGGGTTGTGGTAAGGACTAAGTGCGTCAATATACATAAAGTACTTAGAACATCACCTAGCACAGCGTAATAACAAGTTTGTTATCATTACCCAAAAACTGCCATGTTCATGTCTGAGTATGCTTCACTATTTTAACATAAAATTTTATCACTGATGTTACTGTATTTCTTACTCAAAGGTAACGGCATTTTTAAGGTGGCTTCTATTTCACATGAACTATCATTATTAACAAATATTCCCCTTGCTATAAAATTCTGTAAGAAATTTGTAACCTGATGTCAGTATTTTAATGACATAACGACAATAAGCACTTGCTGTTTACACTTCTTAAGAGTGAGGCAAATTCCCACACCACTTTTTTCCAAGGGCAGGCAGACTACAGCAGAAAGGCCAAATCTGGCCAACTGCCTGTGTGTGTGAAGTTTTACTGGAACACAGCCACCTGTTCATTTACATATTACCTATGACTACTTTTGGGCTAAAAGCAGTATGGAATAATTGTAACAGAGAACATACAGCCCATAGAGCCTAAAATATATTTACTATCTGCCTCTTTTCTATAAAAGTTCTCCAACCCCTGGTCTACTCTAATACCTTCATCAACAGGATATAAAAGGCAAAGAAAATTAAGTGATTTGTCCACCACATAGCTTGTATATGAAACAGTCAAAACTATAATCTAAGCTACTTACTGATCAACTATTCTTTCTACTAAACAACTCTCCCCCCTAAAAAAAAGCTCCTAGGAATACGAGGGCAGAATTCTTGTTACTACACAATTCCATTTCAGTAACAATATAAATCACCTTTAAAATAAAATTCCATTACCTCAATTCGCGGTTTCTTTGCTTCTGCTAAAACTTCATCTGCAGCTCGTTTAACTATAAGAAAAAACAAATAAGTAAACACACAGCCTTGGGATGGATTTTTGAAAGTTCTACACAAACATGTGACAAGACATACCTTGAGTAGATCGCTGTAGACCTATTTCTAGGGGGGCACTTCTGTCAATACTTGCTGATGTTGCTGTAAATTTAAAAAGATTCAGTGAGAGATCAATATTTAAACACAAACATTAGATATTACTGAGTGAAATGTTCAATATTTGCTGTATTCCTAACTTTCTATATGATGATTTCCCTAAGTAAAAAATAAGCTTTAAAGCCATTTTACAAAAATCATTTTATTGGAAAAGACTAATCTATTTTAGAAGGAAAAGGAACCCTTGTGGCACAGTGGTTAAAGTACTCAGCTGCTAACTAAAGAGCCGGTGGTTCAAACCCAACAGCGGCTCCATGGGAAAAAGATGTGGTGCCGTCTGCTTCTACAAAAGACTTAAAGCCTTGCAAACCCTATGAGGCAGTTCTACTCTGTCCTACAGGGTCACTATGAATCAGAATCAACTCAACAGCAGTGGATTTGGTTTTTGGTTTTATATTAGAAAATATATAAAGGATAAACTATTTTTAACCATTTAGCTTACAAACTGTTGAGATGATCTGACTGAAATTAACTGGTCACTTCAAACACTTCAGTATCACAAATTACATGCATAAAAAGTGTATCTAAAAAAAAATACGTAAGTGTATATATGTGAGGGAAAGTTTTGTGATTTTCTTTAAGTTAGCATTCACTTTAAACATACAATTTGTAATTATAACTGGTCAGAAAAAATTTTTTAAGCTTTTTTTTTAAATTGTAGTTTAAGTGAAAGTTTACAATTCAAGTTAGTCTCTCATACACAAATTTATACATACACTGTTATGTGATCCTAATTGCTCTCCCTATACTGTGACAGCTCATTCCTCCTTTCCACCCGATTTCCCGTGTCCATTCAGCCAACTCCTGACCCTCTCTGCCTTCTCATCTCACCTCTAGACAGGAGCTGCCCATTTAGTCTCATGTATCTACTTGAGCTAAGAAGCACACTCTTCAAGAATATCATTTTATGCCCCATACTCCACAGTCTAATCTTTGTCTAAAGAGCTGGCATCGGGAATGGTTTTAGTGCTGGGTTGACAGAGAGTCCAGGAGCCATGCTTTCTGGGGTTCCTCCAGCCTCAGACCATTAAGTCTGGTCTTTTTACGTGAATTTGAGTTCTACACCCCACCTTTCTCCTGCTCCATCAGGGACTCTCTCTTGTGTTCCCCATCAGGGCGGTCACTGGTGGTAGCTGGACATCATCTAGTTCTTCTGGTCTCAGGATAATACAGTCTCTGGTTTATGTGACCCTTTCTGTCTCTAGGGCTAATACTTTCCTTATGACTTTGGTATTCTTCATTCTCCTTTACTCCAGGTGGGCTGGGACCAACTGATGCATCTTAGATGGCCGCTCGCTAGCTTTTAAGACCCCAGATGCCACACACTAAATCGGGATGCAGAACATTTTCTTAATAAACTTTGTTATGCCAATTAACCTAGATGTCCCCTGAAAGCATGGTCCCCAGAACTCCACCCCTGCTACTCTGTCCCTCATAGAGTCTGGTTGCATTCAGGAAACTTCTTAGCTTTGGTTTAGTTCAGAACTAGTAGGAAAAATTTAAATTATTTTTAATTAAATCATTTAACTCTTGAATGGCTCAATATAAAAACAGTATATACCTATCCCCATCCACGCTCCTATTTCCCACCACCCTCCACAACCACTGATAGTCTCTTGTATGTCCTTCTGGAGTTTCTTTCTGCAGATTAAAAAAAAAGCAATATTATTATTTGCCCCTTTTTACACAAAAGGTAGCATAGACACTATACTGCACCTTCTTTTTTTTTTTTTTTTTAACCTAACAATGTATCTCCAATATTCCTCCATTATCAGTATGTGGAACATTTTCTTAACTCTTTTTTACAGCTACAAAGTATTCTGTTGTATGAATTAACTATAATTTAACTAGTCCTCTATTGATGGGCACTTCAATCCTAAGTCTTTTGCCATCACAAACAATGCCACAATGAGTAACTTTGTACGTGTCATCTTGTACATTTCCAAATACACCTGTATAAAAAAGTCCCAGAAGTAGGATTTCTATGTTAAATGTGTAACTATAAAAAACTACTGCCAAATTACATCAATAGGGGTTGTATACTGAAGTATCTATTTCCTTATGGCATTACCAGAGTATATTATCAAACTTCTGGATTTTTGTCTATCAGGTAAAATAGGGTATCTCTTCACAATTTAAATTTGCAGTTCTATTACAAATAGAATTGAGCATTTTTCATATGATTTTATTACTTTTTCTGTGAACTGTATGACCATAATCCACTGGGTTTTTGGTCTTTCATACATATGTTTCCACAACTTCATATTAGTGAGGCTGGTCCTTTTTCTATAACATGAGTTGTAAATATCTTTTCCCCACTGTCATGCCTTTCTATGATGCAAAACTTTACTTTTAACAACATATTAATTCGATAATGCTGTCTTCCCCCTATTGTGACATGTCACTTTAACCAGGTTAAACTCACATACGTACTTCTAATCTAACAGAAAAAAATTTTGCTCTATTAGTTTATCTATTCATTCATGCTTTTTAAATTGTTAAGGCTTTATTATAAGTTCTAAACTCTAGAATGGCTAGTCTTTTCTCATTGCTTTTCTCTAAATTTTTATGACGCTGTTTCTTTTACCAAATAAAGTTCAGAATCAGTTTGTCTAATCCTACCCTTCCCTCCAAAAACACTGTAGGGATTTTTACTGAAATCATGTTAAAGGTATAAATTATATAAAGAACTAAGATCTTTAAGCCAGTATGTCTTTCTAAGAACATGGTCTGTCTTATCATTTGCTCAACTGTTTTGTTAAACCATTAAATCAGCAATTAAATAATTGGCGAAGAAATATCTAAAAACCAAAATCAAACCCACTGTCTTCAAGTTGCTTCTGACTTACTGTACATGACACTACAGGACAGAGCAGAACTGTCCCCATAGAGTTTCCAAGGCTATAATCTTTACAGGAGCAGATCACCAGGTCTTTCTCCTGTGGAACAGCTGGTGGGTTCAAACCACCAACCTTTCAGTTAACAGCTGAGCACTTCACCAGTGCACCACCAGGGCTCCTTAAAGCAATATACCTGATAACTAAATTTATTTGTCTTACAGCAGAAAGTGTAGGAAATGAAGTGGATGGATAAAGGGCAACTCTGTTTTGGATTCTGAAAAGGAAAACCATTTGCTCTGAAGTACTCACCCCAACTAGTCTATTTATCAGACTCACCTGAGACACGTATTAAAAATTAGAGAATCCTAGATCCTATACTAGACCTTCTGAAGCAAATATAATTATTTTTAATAAGTGTACCACATGATTCTCATGATTTAAAAAGTTGGGGAAACACTGCTCCAAAAAAATTAAATTTGATTTGATTCAAAGGAAAAGCCTTTCTATATCCTCCCCATTTCGATCCTTCTTCATAGCAGAATTGGGCCCCCTCTTCAGTCCTCCCGTGGTTCTAACCCTTTATCAGTCTACCTTGCAGGCCAGTGAAATGCTGAAGACAGAGATTTTGCATTTTGTAAAGCACCCAGCACAATACCTGTAAGAATAAGCACTCAGTAAGTGCTTGCTGAATGCTGAATGAAGATAGCACAGGAAGACAACACTCCTGATGATGATCTTTCCATTATGCACAAGATTTTCTGTACAAATCAATCTTACTGCTTAAAGCCATGGAGAAGAATATGTGACAGGACAGCTGTTAATGACTTAAAGGTAGTAAACTCCACCCCAGGGAAGATGAGACCAAACGTTCTACTATATCAATTTATTTGTATTCTGTAAGACAGCAAATTAATAATCATTCATTTATTCATTTAAACACTACTATGTACCAAACACTGTCCTAAATGCCGAATATTTAACAACAAACAAGAAAAACAAGTTTCTGCCCACTTGGGGTTTACTCTCTAGTGGGGGAGGCACACGATATATAAGTAAATAAATATACAGTTTCAGGTCAAAGAAAGGGATTTGATTAAAAATAAATAAATCAGGACAGTATTATACAGGAGAATGGAGAGAAGCAATCTTATTTTATCTTAATAACATAGACATAAGATAGAGTTGTCAAAGAAGTCCTCTCTGATGGAACAAGAGTTGAACACAGATCTGAATGAGAAAGTGAGCCATATGGCAATACAGAGAAATTAGAACTCAAGACAGAGGAAGAGCACGTACAAAGGCTCTAAGGTTAGAACGGCTAAAAGACTGATGAGAATGGACTGCTGTGGGCAAAGATTAGTAAAACATAAGGTCACAGAGATTTAGACAGAAGCAAGATTACACAGGGTCAATATAGGGAGAATGCACTTTATTCCAAGTATGATGTCACTCTGACTCCTATGCGGAAAATACACTACAGAAAACAAAGAACGGGAACTTGCGAGGAGGCTATGGACTTGTGAGGAGGCTACGGACTTGTGAGGAGGCTATGGACTTGTGAGGCTACGCAACAGTCTAAAGGAGGAGGAAGGAATAAGATGGGGGTATAATGGTCAGAAGTTGTAAGACTTTTAAAGATAGAGAAAAAAAGACTTGCTGTCGGAATGGATGTGTGATGTGTGAAAAGAGAATCCAAGATTTCTGCAGGTTTTTTGGCCTAACCAACTGCATGAATGGGATACACCGGGGGAAGAACAACAGACTTGGGTGTTTTGTTTTGGAGAAGAGAAGGAGAGAATCAGAGAATTCTATTTTGGACATGTTAAATTTCAGATGCCTATTAAACAGCCAAGGGAAGACGCTAAGTTTGACAGTGAATTTATAAATATGGAGCTCAGGGAAGAAGTCAGTGTCGGAGATAAACTGAAATTCATCGGCATATGGAAGGTATTAAAAGCATGAAACTAGAAGAGGTCACCTAAACATTAAGCATTAAAAGATAAAGGAAAAAATTCAAGTCTTAGGGAATGTTAAGAATTAGAACTCAGGCACAGAAGAAAGTAAAGCAAAATAGACCGAGGATTAGACAATGAGTAATAAGAGAACCAAAACAGTCTAGAGCTCCAAATGTGAAGGGAAGAAAGGCTTTCAAAAGGATAGGTGACAGTATCAAATGCTGTTAAGAGCTCAAGTAAGCTGCTAGTAAGAGAGACTACGGATTTGTAACCCTTAAGTCAGTTGCTGACCTTACAAGAGTGATTTCAGCAAGATGGCAAGGATGAAAGTCAGATATGGGTGGATTTAAGAGAGAATTAGAGGTAGCAGTGATACCATGCCAACTCTTTAAAAGAATTCTGCAATAAAGGGAAGAAACAAAATGGAGCAGTAGATAGTAAGAATGTGAGGTCATATTTTTTTTTTTTTAAAAGATAAAAGATATTACTGTATGTCTGTATTCTAAAGAGAATGACAGAAAGAAAAAAACTAATGATGCAAGAAAGAAATAATAACTTACAGAGATAAAGTCTCTCAGTGGGTAAAAGGAGATGGGACCCATATACAAGGCAGGCATGACTGGCTTTAGGCACAAAGGTGTGCATTCACTGTAACAGGAAAGAAGGGTGAGTGAATGAACACAGCCACAGATAGGTCAGTTAATTTTTTAGGGAATATAAATTCTCTTCCCACTGCTTCTCATTTTATAGGAAAAAAAGAAAAAAGAAACACTGTCTAATTAACAGTGACAACAATTTAAAAACTACTCACATGCTTCACCATTGAGATAGCCAAGTAGATCTTTTCGGTCAGGTCTTCGAACCACAGGAATGTTTTCAGTCTGAAGCAAAAATTTAAATTAGATACGAAATCAATAACAACTATATGAAACTTAGGAAACATAAATATCATATAACATCTGAATTTTATTCCAACATATTTTGATAATACATATTTAAAATCTCATTTGCAGAAAATGACTAGGCTGAAAGAACCAAATAGAAATCTTGAAAACTTTTTAAACATCAATTTGTGACAGCTTTATTTTTTAGGTTCTAGCAAGATACACCAAATATAATTATTAGAAATGAAGCAACAACTCTTTCTTCTTCAAAATATCAATTCTAGTCTTTCTTCCCCCCTTTGGCTTATTTTAAGTATTTATTTTTTAATTGTACTCATGATGGTTTGCACATTTGGGACAAATACCTTTTCAGTCCCACTGCATTCTCACTTCATACAGTATTTCCAAAGTACTTTCTTTTCTCACACACAAACCATACTTCCTCCTCAAAATATTTCATTTAAACTCTTTCAAATAAACCAAATTAGCCACTAAAATTAAATTTTTATAATTAACGACCGATACGTGTTGTTCAGGAATGAGAAAGTTTGGGAGGTTATGCAAGGAAATGTTAGCAGTGGTTGTCTATCTTCTACATTACATATTTCTTTTTTATCCTCGAGTGTGTATAAATTCTGCAAGCAGAGAGAGGAAAGAAGATAAAAAAACAAATCTGAAAAATGTATCTTAGTAATATGGATAACTTTTCTTTAATCTCTTAATTGGCAAACTGTAAAGAGGTAAGCAAAACAAATAAAATTGTACACTTTAGGTACCAACTTATCTTTGGACAACGAATTCAACGAATTCTGTAATTACCACAATTTTGCACTTCATTTTTCTAATGTAAACAAACAGCATGGTGGCAGGAGTATAAAGTTAAAATCCCTTTGTCACCCTATATGAGCAACAATGAAGTAACAACAAGAGTCCTTAGAATCTCTGGCCAATTATCTAATACTGAGTAGTGAGTACATTTCACTGAACATATTCCCCAATGATATAGATGAACTAGATTTCATCAATTAAAGAATAATCTATATTCCCATCTTCAAAAAAAAAGTCAGGTTAATTTTAATTTTTGCCTATGAATATAAATGTTTAAGAGCCCACAAAAGTTTTTCTGTGCTTATGTTTTTTTTTTTAAACCAGTCTACCTGGAATACTATAGTTAAAAGATCTGAATTTTCTTTAAAATACTGTTTCTAAGTCTGATAACATAATTAATCGTTTGATCACTACTGAATAATGCACACATTACAGCCAAGTGAAAAAGACATAACGTACCCAAACTAAAGTAAGAGCTTTGCGTCAGGAATACCTATTTGGAGCTATGGGTCAAGAATACTTATTTCAGGAGTGGTCTGCTCACAAGAAAGAGCAAATTACATAAAGGAGTTAGGAGAAAACAACCTCAAATTCGTAGAGCCCTAGCATTTTAGAATTCTGTCTTTTAAACTTGTCAAAAATATAAGAAAAATAAAAGAGGTAAATCTTATTTGACCAAGGCTCCTAGTAACAATTATAGCCGTCAGTTATGTCCTACAACCATTCCACAAGAAAAATAACCTCTAAATCTAGGTCAAGCATCTGGATCATCTTTATTACCCCGAAATGATTGGTTATGTCCAATAAAACATCCTTACTGCCTAACTCATATTTTAAAGATTTAATGTGAATTAAAACAACTGTATACACAGAGATGCTGCCATTTTGCCCCACAAATGCCCAAGTAATTTCACTCTAATTTTATTGTCTTTGTAATAGGTATTTAATACTATGTATTTCTTGCTCAGAAAGCAGCAGTCTTACAAAGCTCATTAGATACTGGGAGACTTTCCCAATCACTTTAAACAACAAGGTATCGTTTGGAAACGACATCTCACATAAGCCAGAAACAGCCTCAACATAACTACTGGGAGAAAGGGGAAGGTTACAGAAGTAAATTTTATCTTAATGTCCTTTGGCCAGTGTTAGATAACTTAAAAAGTGACTCTAGTAATAACATATATGCTGATGATGTTTGTGAAAAGTTTGAATGAAATTGTTTCAAGAACTGTAAGAACTGGGAAAACAGTACTTACAAATTAGTACATTTCATATTTAATTTTAAATATGTAATTTTAAGTACATTAAAACAATAAATACTAAGAGCAGGCACTTAATTATTTCATTTATCTCTCTAAAAAAATTTATGTTCAAGTTTATCAAAAGAAACTAGGGGAGGGGTCTCATTTGGAAAATTAAATATTTTTCAGGGGCATTTTATTAGGATATTTATGGCAATCTGCCATGTCTCACAGCTATTATACCCAAATAACTCTAAAGCCTTACATATTCATTGTAATATGCTGCTTCACTACAGATGAAGAATCTCATCATCCTATTCTCTGTGAATCAAGCTCTTTTCAAGTGTTTCTAAAGTTTCTTCTGAGTAATAAATATTCAAAACTGAGATGAAAGCAGGCAAAACTGAAAACAAATTTATCAGGAGTATATGGAAAAGTTTTATTAAACTGATCAAAAGTTAACTTTTAAAAGCTGTCTGTTAATCTTGATTCTGTCTTATGACATTAAAAGAAAAAAGTTTTCTTGAGATTAGCGTTCTGAATATCTGGGTTCTACCACCAGCACATAAATTCTTAGAGAAAAAAAACCTATAAATAGCTTTAAAGCTTTTACTATATAAACATTATCCACATTCTATGTGGAAAAAAAAAAATCACAGATTAAAAAATGTCTATAAATCACAGACAGTGGCCCAATTCTGACCCTCCGCGGAGCCCTGGTGGCACAGTGGTTAAGCATTTGGCCGCTAACCAAAAGTTCGGCAGTTCAAAGCCATCAGCTGCTCCTTGGAAACCCAACAGGGCAGTTCTACTCTGTCCTATACGGTCACTATAAGTCAGAATCAGCTCGACAGCAACGGTTTTGGTTTCTGTTTTTTTTTTTGATGAGACCTTCAAGCAGACAAATTCATTCTTCTTGATTTGAAACACATAAGGAAAGTTATCCATGTCAATTAATATCTAACATTAATTCAAAGAAGCAATTCTAAAATGAATTCTACTTACGGCTGCACGTCGGACATAAACAGGATGAGAAAGGTGCACATTGTTAAGAAGAAATAAGATAGAATCCAACGTGTAATACTCTCTGGGTTGGCCTTCCTTTCCAGTCCTGAAATAATTAAGGCAAGATTTTTACTAACAATTCTAATTCAACTCTTTGAGCTTAACCTAATGTACTCATTTATGTATCCCCACTTTGCTGTTCAACAATGGATTTAAAATAGCTAACCAAAATACACTAACGTATATAAATCAACTAGGTAAGTTAAACTGTCATTAGGACAAAAAGAACACAAAGAAAGACAATGAGAAAAAGGAAGAAGAAAGGAAAGCACACAAAATTCACACTCTTAGGTACTGTAAACTTTTTTAGAATTAGGCCCAAATTAGGCTCAGAACTTTGTCAACTAGAAGAGAAACCTAACCAGTTACAGATTAGGGAGAATTCATAAGAGAAAATAACCATATTGCTCAGGAGAAGCACCCCTATGACTGGTGCTAAAACTTAAGACAAATTTATCTTATGGCTCTTACTAAGGTAGATACTGCTAAACAACATCCTCAACAACATTCTTACAGTAAACACAGCAATGAATTTCAGACATATGATTTTTATGACATCCCTCAAATTAGACCAATGACGTAAATCAAAATGCAATTGCACCTGACACAACTGGGGATGCAACCTCTCTAACTCAAGCACATATTACTTCCTCAACCAATGTTAGCATCTGATTCCACTCCTCCTACTTCATTCTCCCATCCTGAAGTGAAAAGTTCAGTGTATTATTTGAATTCATCTGAACGCAGCCCACTGTAATTAGCCCTAAACCTACTTACCTAGCTTCTACTCCTGTTTTTCCTTTAAATCAATGTATTTCAAGCCACATATCACTATACTACGAAATCAAATACTATATGGGTAACAACCAGGTTTTATTTCTGATGATATAGAAAAGAATAGGAAAACAACAATGCACTGCATGCAGTATTATTTAACACTATATATATTTATGTAGGTATATAAATGTACACATTTATACATGCACATGGATGCAGATGTATATAGTAAATGAAAATATATTTCTGGTTTGATTTGTTGTTTTGAAAGTTTGAAATCTGCTGTTCTAAGCATTCCTTTTTCACTGGCTTCACCAGATTGTTATCTGTCAAAACATTTACTTTCTACCTCTCATGCCTTTATACATTCAGTTCTATCATCTTGGAAGACCTAACCCATCACTTCACTCACAGAATTCGTACCTATTCTTTAAAACTCATTCCTTTAAGAAAAATTTATTAGAAGCCAACACGCCAAACTGGTATCTATGAAACTTTTCCTAATATCCTCCCAGCCAAAAGTGATTGCTCTCTTTTTATGAGACAAAAAGCACTTCACATCAATTTATGTGTTATCTCCTCTACTCAGATTAAGTAAACCACCTTTGAGGCAGGGACCAAGATCTTAAGAATTTTTCTATTTCTCACATTAATTATTGAACTGCCCTGCACCCTGAGTACTCCTTAACAACTTTTTAAAGGAAAAATTAAAAATTCAATCAAATGTAATCCTGTTTATGCAAATTATTTTGAAAAGATTAAAATTTTTTTAAAAAACTCCTCACAGTAAACTCAGAATATCATTTCATCCACATTTCATAAAGTTAATCAAATCATAAGACCTTGAAATAAAAATAAAAACAAAAGAACCAACAAACAAAAAAACTAAACTACCCTTAGCTTTCTGTCAACACTTCATAAAGCCCACTGTCTCCCATCACTCTATCCTCCATTCAGTCAAACAAAATGAATATGGAAGTCCTAGTTCAAGGTTGTAACGCCCAAATGAAACACCAAAGAAAGTGGCACCACTAAAATGGCCCCTAATGATTATTAGACCTGTATCTAGATGTTTTGCTGAGTGATTTAAATTCAAGAAACCCCACATGGATCAACATTCCAAGCCATTTTTTTTTTTTTTTAAACTCACAATTCCCAAAATCACACACATCATCAATTTCTTACTTAGACTTCTAAACGCTCACTCCATTCCATTACTAACTTTCTCCCTTAGGAAACTCCTGCCTCCACCTCTAATACAGATTTTGTTGACTCTTTCAAATTCATCTAATCTGTTTCCGTCGTAACTTCACACAGTTGATTCCCTTCTCTCTTCTTGAGGGATCCCCCGTCTCCCACACGAAAGGGGAAGAAATAAACCAGGAGCTGCAGGGCCAGCGGAGACACTTGTAACACATGGCAGCCTCAAAAAAGAGAAAGAAAATAAAGAACAAAAAGAGACCGGCACCAGACGATGTGTTCCTTTGTGCACCTAAGTTCAGGTATATTTGTGGACCAGCCCTACACGTTACTGGCACTCGATACATACCGATAAAAATGAACGAGAAAAGTCAGAAATTCCCGTGGTACCTTTCTCCTTGCCTTCCTCAATTTTAAAGAGATGGAGCATTCCAGACACAGCTCCTCACCGCAAAAGTGCAACTTCTGCTCAGCAAAGAAACTTTTTCCAGGAGCACCTAGTTTTTCCCCATCCCCAGGGGAAACGGGGGGAGGGGTTAGGAAAGAGGTCACCTGGGGGCGCCCAACTCTTCTTTGCCACCCTGGGCCACAGCCATACCAGACTTACCCCCAAACTACATAGTTGGTCTTGACATTCTTGGGCCAGGAGAACTCCCCGAAGATTACTTCGTCTCCCTTCACCACAATCTCCTTCTTCTGAATGTTGTACTGTCGCAGGACGCTGAGCACGTCCGCCATCTTCCCCCCCCTCGCCGCCGCCGGACGCGGGTACCGCCGCCGCCGCCGAGCCTGCCTCCGCCTTCCCCCGTCGCCTCGCCCTCTTCCTCCTCCTCCTCCGCCGCCGCCGCCGCCGCCGCAAACCAACAGCAGCAGCAACTAACAGCCGTCCTAGCCTACGACAGCAGAAGGAGCAGTAACCACCCAGACCGCCGAGGACCCCGCGCTATAAGGCAAGGCCCCGCCGCCGGCTGCCCGCGGAGAACGCCTGACTGCACGCCTCCAGCGCTGCACGGCGGCCGCCAGGGGGAGCCGCGACCGCCGGGGAAAATGCCCCTACCAGACTTCCACTCGGCACGGAGCTGACTCCCGGCACGGAACGCGGAGCTCAGGGACACCGTGCCCACGTACGGCGCACGTACACGGAGCATTGCCGGGTACCCGCGCACGCGCGCGAAGCACGTTTATCATTCCCCGCAGCGCGCACTCCACAGCCGACAGGTGCGCGCGCACCTGCGTGGCTGGTGCACAGTTCTATCCCTGGAGAGCTCATTGAGCCCTCTAAGACCAGTCTTGAGGGCTGCTAAAGGTTCTCGCGTCCCTACTTTGGCGAGGGTGGAGATTGGCCAAGACTTTGCAGAAAAGTAGGGTTACCCTCCCATCTAGATATGACCCAGATATACCAAAAGGCCTCTAGATGTTAGTGATCCAGATAAACTCCTTTAGAGGACTGTTTTTGTAGGTGGATTCTCATAATGGAAAAGACCAAGTACCGCAGAGCTCAATTCCGGGCACCACTGTTTATTAGCTGCTGTTTGACTTTGGTCAAGTTACATAACGTTCTCTCACAGCAGCATCAATTGGTTTAATGGATACAATGGGGTTACCATATGAGTATTAGCTTCAGGGATGTTATGAGGATTATATGAGAATAAGGTGAAAGCGTCTAGCAAATCATCAAAATAACATAAATGTTGGATTTACACCATCCATTCTGTACATGGAGCCCTGGTGGCGCAGTGGTTAGGAGCTACGACTGCTAACCAAAAGGACGGCAGTTGGAATCCACCAGGAGTTCCTTGGAAACCCTATGCGGCAGTTATACTCTGTCCTATACCGTCGCTAATGAGTCGGAATCGACTCGACTGCAATTTTTTTTTTTCCTTTGATTACTCCGTACATGACTTTTTCTATCTTGGCCCCTTCCCCTATCCCCATTCCCAAAAGGCCACAATGGCCTTGTTCTGAGATGATAGCGAAAAAGTTAAACAAGGACCCCAAACTGTCCTAATTAGAAAAACACTTTCAGACTACTCAGTTTTTATTGGCACCCAGAAGACTCCATGAGTGTCTTTCTGGTATTGGGAAAGTTGAAATAAATTCAATATATTATGACGTGTGTACTAAAAGCCAAATTTATACCTTGGGTCCCATAATTGTATTATTATTATTATTATTCCTTTTACTGAAGCAAAAGGGGAAAAAAAGGAATGTTTGTGACTGACATAACCAAATTCCTTCTCCTGCTTTGAAAGAAATAAATTTTTGCTATGTGTAATACAAGAGAATATAGAGGTATGTGGTTCATTTCTATACTATCTATAACCATTTTTGCAACTGAATTTGATAAATTTTGCCTGTTTTGCACATGTTCTTACCCCTAGGATAGTTTCCTGAACCTCACCTCAAACGAAGACACTCCAACGAACTGACTACTCTCTTACCTATCCCCATACTGTCTACTCTATTCATACTTTGATCAGAGCAGCCAATATTATTTGACTGCCTTTATTAGTTTATTAACTTGCCTTTTTTCTACAAAACTTAAAGGGCTGTAGACCTTTGCCTTAATATCCTAACACCTTGGACATTATTTAGCACATAAGAGGCCCTACTATTATGTCAGTTTGTCATACTGTAGTGGCTTACATGTTGCTGTGATGCTGGAGGCTACGCCACCAGTATTTCAAATACCAGCAGGGTCACCCTTGGTGGACACATTTTAGCAGAGCTTCCAGATTAAGACAGACTGTAAAGAATGACCTGGCAGTGTACTTCTGAAAAAATTAGACAGTGAAAACCTTATGAATAGCAACAGAACATTGTCTGATATATTACCAGAAGATGAGCCCCTCAGGATGGAAGGCACTCAAAATACTACTAGGGAAGAGCTGCCTCCTCAAAATAGAGTTGACCTTAGTGACGTAGATAGAGTAAAGCTTTCAGGACCTTCATTTGCTGATGTAGCATGACTCAAAATGAGAAGAAACAGCTGCAAAACATCCATTAATAATTGGAACATGGAATTATGAAGTGTGAACCTAGGAAAATTAGGAGTCATCAGAAATGAAATGGAACACATAAAGATCAAGATTCTAGGCATTAGTGAACTGAAATGGACTGGTATGGGCCATTTTGAATCAGATAATCATAGGATGTACTATGCCAGGAATGACAAGTTGAAGAGGAATGGCGTCACATTCATCATCAAAAAGAACATTTCAAGATCTATCCTGAAGTACAACTCTGCCAGTGATAGGATAATATCCATATGCCTACAAGGAAGGCCAGTTAATAGGACTATTATTCAAATTTATGCACCAACCACTAAGGCCAAAGATGAATAAATTCAAGATTTTTACCAACTTATGCAATCTGAAATTGATCAAACATGCAATCAAGATGCATGGATAATTATTGATGATTAGAATTCGAAAATTGGAAACGAAGAAGGATCAGTAGTTGGAAAATAAGGCCTTGGTGATAGAAACAATGCCGGAGACTGCAGGATAGAATTTAGCAAGACCAATGATTCCTTCATTGCAAATACCTTTTTTCAACAACATAAATGGCAACTGTACATGTGGCCTGAACCAGATGGAATACACAGGAATCAAATCGACTACATTTGTGGGTAGAGACAATGGAACAGCTCAATATTATCAGTTAGAACAAGACCAGGGACCAACTGCAGAACAGAACATCAGTTGCTCATATGCAAGCTCAAGTTGAAGCTGAGGAAAATTAAAACAAGTCCACAGGAGCCAAAGTACAAACTCAAGTATATCCCACCATCTCAAGAATAGATATGAGGCATTGAATGCTAATTACTGACGACCAAACAAGTTGGGAGACGACATCAAAGACATCATACATGAAGAAAGCAAACATTCATTAAAAAGACAAGAAAGACCAAAATGGATGTCAAAAGAGACTCTGAAAGTTGCACTTGAATGTAGACTAGGTAAAACAAATGGAAGAAAAGATGAAGTAAAGGAGCTGAACAGAAGATTTAAAAGGGCGACTCAAGACAAAGAATTATAATGAAATATACAAAGACTTGGAGTTATAAAACCAAAAGGGAAGAACATGCTCTGCATTTCTCAGTCTGAAAGAACTGAAGGAAAAATTCAAGCCTCGACTTGCAATAGTGAAGGACTCTGTGAGCAAAATAGCAAAATATTGAATAACACAGGCATAAAAAAGATGGAAGCAATACGCAGAGTCACTGTACCAAAAAGAGTTGTTTGTTGTTCAACCATTTCAAAAGGTAGCTTATAATCAAAAAACAGTAGTATTGAAGAATGAAGTACAAGCTGCACTGAAGGCATTGGCGAAAAACAAGGCTTCAGGAATTGGCAGAATACCAATTGAGATGTTTCAACAAATGGAGGCAGTGCTGGATTCACTCACTTGTATATGCCAAGAAATTTGGAAAACAGCTACTTGGCCAACCGACTGGACAAGATCCATGTTTGTGCCCATTCCAAAGAAGAGTGATCCAACAGAATGCAGAAATTATCCAACAGTATCATTAATATCACACACAAGTAAAGTTTTGCTGAAGATCATTCAAAAGTGATTGCTAGACAGGGAACTACCAGAAATTCAAGCCAGATTCAGAAGAGGACACGGAACTAGGGATATTATTGCTGATGTCAGATGGATCCTGGCTGAAAGCAGAAAATACCGGAAAGTTGTTTACCTGTGTTTTATTGACTATGCAAAGGCATTCAACTGTGTGGGTCATAACAAATTATGGAAAACATTGAGAAGAATAGGAATTCCAGAACACTTAATTGTGCTCATGAGGAACCTGTATATAGACCAAGAGGCAGTCGTTGGAACAGAACAAGGGGATACCACGTGATCTAAAATCAGGAAAGATGTGAGTCTGGGTTGTACACATTCACCATACTTATTCAATATGTATGCTGAGCAAATAATCCAAGAAGGAAGCCGGACCATATGAAGGCGAACTTGGCATCAGGATTGGAGGAAGACTCATTAACAACCACAATATGCAGATGACACAACCTTGCTTGCTGAAAGCGAAGAGGACTTGAAGTACTCACTGATGAAGATGGAAGACGACAGCCTTCAGTACGGATTACACCTCAACATAGAGAAAACAAAAATCCTCACAACTGGACTGATAAGCGAGGATGGCGAGACTTCATCTCACGTACTTTTAACATGTTATCAGGAGGGACTAGTCATTGGAGAAGGATGTCAGACTTGGTAAAGTAGTTGTTAGGTGCTGTCAAGTCGGTTCAGACTCATATGCACAACAGAACAAAACACTGCCCAGTCCTGCAGCATCCTCACAACGGCTACTATGGTTGAGCTGATTTTTGCAGCCACTGTGTCAATCCATCTTGTCAAGGGTCTTCCTCTTTTTTGCCCACCCTCTACCTTACCAAGCATGATGTCCTTGTCCAGGGACTGATCCCTCCTGACAATATGTCCAAAGTACGTGAGACAAAATCTCACCATCCTCGCTTCCAAGGAGCATTCTGGCTGGACTTCTTCCAAGACAGATTTGGTCATTCTTCTGGCAGTCCATGATACAGTCAATATTCTTTACCAGCACCATAATTCAAAAACATCAATTCTTCTTAGCTTCCTTATTCATTGAAAGAGAGGAAGACCCTCAACGAGATGGGTTGACACCGTGGCTTCAATGATGGGCTCAATTATAACAACGATTGTGGTGATGGTGCAGGACCAGGCAGTGTTTCATTCTATTGTACATGGGATCGCTCTGAGTCAGAACTGACTCAACAGCACCTAATAATAATAATAAATAACTAATGTTAAATTACTAAATGGATAGATGAGTTCGAGGCAATTGCAGTTTTATGATGGATTAGGAGAGTCAACTATAGTTCCTTCAAATGATATTTAATTTT